GCACAGGCTGAGTGCACCTAGCAGCTCCCAGCTGAGCTCAAGCCCACAGAAGGCATGCTGATGATGGCTGCAGGGTGAACGGGTCTGGTCCCAGCCTCACTACGCTGCCATCAGCTACTGTGGGGTTGCTGGGATAAATCAACACAGGTCTGGACTCTGTCTCTGCATGTTGTCTACCAGTGACAGCAGCCTTTTTTTTTCCTTCCATTGTTCTAGTTTTTATATGCATAAATGTGATTTCTAGTTTCTTTGTGGGTATTGTTCTGGTCTGTTCTTCCTTTTATTTCTTCCTTCTCTCTTTCCCTCCTGTTTTCTCCACCGATTTCCTAAAGTTTGTATGATTCTCCCCTTTGTCCTCCAGCCTTGTTTCTAATCTCTTCATCCATTTCTATTTCTCTATTTTTTTTCCCTAACCCCTTTCAAACTTTCTCTCCTGAGGGTAAAATTAGCATATTGAGGACTTTTTTTTTCTGTGTACAGTTTTCTGGCTTCTGTTAGATTTTGTTGTATAACTACAAATCTAGTTCATATGGTTACAGGTGGCAAATTAATGCCTACCTCCGTTTGCTATTTTCTAAGCTATTTGATGCTATTGTTATTGGCGACTGTACCACGTTAGCCAAAGAGACATAATGGTTCTAACCAGCTGTTCTGCCTGGTATACCAAGCCTGAGATTGCCTAAGCATCATAGAAAATATGATGGGCCAGTGCCAAGGAGCCAGCGGCTGAGCCAAACAGGCAGCAACTTCTCATCCCAAACTAATTGAAGAGGTAGGATCTGGCAACATACTTAAAACCCCAAAACCAGCCACATCAGGAAGGCACTTTTAAGAGGTATTTACTTCGTAAAGGTTCTTAGTAGTAGCAATAAAGCAACTCACTATAGACAATTTTCAAGCATCAACCTGGGAATTAAACTTAAAGAGAAAAAGAATAAGAAAATGAGAAGATACTTAAACAAGTCGCAACCCCAGACATCCATTTCACTCACCAAAGGCAAACCCAGGCGACAATCAGGTGGGACAATTACAAAAGTCACCCACCTGACCTCTCTGAAGTGGTAACAACAAAGCAAATGAATGATGCTCGAGAAAAAAGAAGTCAGAAATAATGTCCCAGCTAACGACACAGAGGTTAACCATAATGAAGACCAAACTTAGTGACTCCAGAGCAGATACAGCTAAAAAAAAAAAAAAAAAAAAAGGATCTTAGGAAAATGATAGAAACCATGAATGCCCAACATAAGAAAGAAATAGAATCCAGAAAAATTGCTAGAAAATACTGAGCATCGAGCCAGGATTTAAAGAAAGGACAAAATGGATGAAGACCAGGGAGGAAAGAGAGGACACTTGCAAAAGCCGATGACATCTACACAGAGGTAATTTCACTTGGAGTTTTCAAACTAAAACACTACAGATTTGGCCACTGACCTCTCTTTTGTTATCTGCTCTGTTCTATACCTTCTCTTAAATGTGTCAGATTGTATTCTGAACTCAAATGCTTCTCTACTTTAAATGGTGGGGTAGACATAAATTCCTTCCAACTTCTGACGTTTCACTAGAAGTTTTTTTTTTTTTTTTTCCAATCACATAATCTGAAATATCTATGCTTTGTTATTCCGCACCTTAGCATTTCTTTCATAGTTCTTAGCATAATTTGTAGTTGTAAATCAGTTTGAGAGCTTATAATTTGCCAGCCTTACTAGATTATTAACTAGGTAGAGGCAGGAAATTTGCTTTTACCCTTTTTCTTTAATGTGTACGAATCACTTAGTAAAGTGATTTGGCACTTCATAGCGATCTGCTGAAATGGAATTAAATATTATGTATTTCTGTGGAGCCCAAAAATCTACATATAGAACTGATTCCAAACTCTAGAATAGTTTTAACTTTTGTTTTAGGGAAGGGTCTACAGGGTGTTCACGGTCTCACTACTAGATCCGACTCATAGTGATTCACCTGTTTATAGCCTCCCAAGAGCTGGGCTTACAGGCGCGCCAACATGCCCAGTCTCAATTGCCATCTCAGCATGCCCCAGTGGCGGGGCTGGCACAGCAGGCCTGGGGATTGAATCCCCACCCCCTGTGCCTGCTTGCAGGTGCTTTAATCCACTGAGCTATTTGGCCAGCCCTTATTTTTAAATACCAAGTTTAAATCATCCTAACTTCTGATACATAAAAATGTATATCCATCTAAATATGTATGGGTATGTGTGCTGCATAAATGGTAATATACTGATTTTCATTCATAAAATTTATTAAAATCTAGATAAACTATTTCATCTTTTACACTAAATGGAATTAGCTCATGAGAACTGTTAATTCACGCAAAATCTGGATAACTCTGGACAGGATTGGGGAACAGGATCACTATTGGCATTGGCTTGTACAAGGGGCCTGGGCACAGATCAGAAGGAGCCACAGCCTCCTCAGGGCACAGTGACACATGCTGCATGGTGACTGCTTGGTGCAGGAAGCCTGGCAAACATTTCAGCTCCCCCTCTACGTGCCTTGCCCTGGACCTGACCCCCACACAGGCGAAACCCTGGCCAGGGGACATGAGCAAAACATGATGATCTGGCCACCCTGTGCAGCTCCATTTCATACAGAAAGAAGCTATTTCTTACATGCTAATGAGAATGAGCTCAGTTGGAAAAGGCGACTTTCTCCTCTGTATTTCTTTTCTTTTTCCTGTATTTTAGGGAAGGGTCTACAGGGTGTTCAGGGTCTCACTACTAGATCAGACTTGCAGTGACCTGCCTGTTTACAGCCTCCCAAGAGCTGGGATTATAGGTGTGCACCACCATACCCAGTCTCAATTATCTCAGTGCGCCCCAGGGGCTGGCATGGCAGGCTGGGGGAACCAACCTGCACCTGCTTACAGGTGCTTTAATATGCTGAGCCCTCTCCTCTGTATTTCTGGAGACTTAGCTGAAGAGGAAAACCTTCGTAGAAGAAGACCATTTTTCATATCCAAGTGTATAGATATCTCTGTCCGCCTGCTGAGTCCACCTCCCAATGGACTTTCTAGATTTACTTGGAAATAATCCAGTGTTGACTCTTGACCCCAAGAAACTATGCTGTCCAGGCTGCAGATGAGGTTTGCAAGTTTTGTTCTGGGGAAAAAAATCAGAAACTAGTTTGCGTGCAATGCTTTAATCACAATCTAGAAATTTTATCAGTGGCATAAGAATAAGCTTAGCTATCTCATAAGTGGTGCAGTTATTTGAGGCCCATGGACGATAGACAGGGAAAACTAGCTCCCGTTTGTCCAGTACTCTGGGGGGCTGAAGCAGGACGATCACAAGCTTGAGTCCAACCTGAGCATCACTGTGACTTACTCAGATCATGTCTCAAATATAGGACAGTAATCTTTTATAAATGCTTGATAGCTTGAATCTTAGTGTCATAGGTTGCAACAGACATACAAAAACCAGCTTTAATTCACTTTAAGAGTCCTTGGTCTTAAAATATACCCACAAAGAAGGGCTGTCCCTAAATGACTAATGTGAATCTGCCACTTGGCATGAGAGTACAAGCCACTGAAGTAAGATTTTAGAAGGCTCTTTCAAGCTTTGAATAGTGGAAAGGAAAGCATTCTGGATTGGGTTCCTGGGTCCTGGTTTTCACATTACCTAACTTAGTGAGCCCTCCAAGCAGACAGGTGTCAGAAAACAGTGGTGGAACATTTCTAGTCAAATGCCTGCACTATGTCACAGCCCCTAAGAGAAACGTGAAGGGTGTCCTTGGGGTCCTACCTTCAGCTCAGGACTGGGTCAAGCATTCCAGCCAATTCTTCTCAGTTACTCTGATTGGTCCACTTCTTTGGCTCCACCAGTACATCTAAGCCCCAAAAGCTTATACAGCCACTGGGATCCCTTTAAGGTTAGTTTAATCAGCTACCCACCTGAACCATCAGCAACTTTCACATGAGCTTTACGAATATGTGCCCAAGAAGTGAAGCAAATCCAAATATGGTGAACATTCCTCCACTGCCAAAACGGGAAGCCGCCTTATCTCCTCATCAAAACCCATCCACCGGCAAAGCAGCTACCCTATTAAATACCCAAATGGGCAAAAGCACATTCTGTGTACAACCTCGGAGAGGTTTGTGTCTTTGCCAACTTTTAGGGATGCAATAAACATCAAGCCACCGCTCTTGGTAACGTGGATAGCCTTTCTGAAACACTTCACACAGTCTCTGTGTAGCTGAGGGAAAGCGTCATGGATTTGTGTACATGGGGGTAGGGGGTAAAGCCTTTCTGGACACACCTGCAGCTAATTCTTCCTCCAGAACTGACACCTCTGTATTAACTAACCCAGGGAGTGTGTGTGTGTGTGTGTGTGTGTGCGCGCGCGCGCGTGTGTGTGTGCGATTTGAAGGAAAGCTGATTGTCCAGCCTGCTTCGTTCTGCCCACCTAGGGCATAGGAACCTGAGCTGCCTACTGGCATCTGTGGGGCTGCGTTTGGATCCCAACATTGGGGGCCCTGAAAGGGGTTCCTGGCGTCAACCTGCTGTAACCCAGGTGAAGCCTCCAGAGGCAGAAGACCCGACCTGCTCCCAAACCCTTCCGCACCCTCTGCTCCCACCTGCGCCTGCCACTTGGGCAGCCTCAGGGCTTTGGCTAGGGTGGGTGGCCTTTCCCACAGTCTGTCTCCAAACCCCTCACCCCCCTCTGCCCCTAAATCAGACCTTGAAGATCACAAGGACCAGGGGTGTCTGTCGGAGCAGCCGGGGAGAGAAAGAACTCCTGCCACCCACCCACCCCCGCCAGCGGGGCCCAGGTCGGGTCGCCTAGTAGCCCCCTCCCCTTTTCTCACCTCCTAGGGCCCGGCCCACTCTATCTCTCTCGCAGCCTCAGCCTGGGCCGTGCGCCGGAGGCCTAGGACTGCCGAGGGCTGCCGGAGGCTTGGGGGGCGCGGCCCAGAGGCCGGCTGCAGAGGCTCAGCGGCCCTCGCCCCCTCCCCGCGGTCCCCGCCGGTGCCGCAGCGCGCGCTGCCCCTCCCGCCCAGGCCGGACGCACTGGCAGCGGTGACGTCAAGGGGCGCGCGGTGGCAGCACCTCCCCGCGCGCTAGTTAAAAAGAAGAAGAAAAGAGGGAGCGAAACATGAGAGGCTGTGTGAGAAGCTGCAGCCGCCGGCAGAGGAGACTTCAGCATCCCCCGGAGCCCCGCGCCCTCCCGGCTCCTCCTGCCCCGCCGCCGCCGCCCGGTGCCTACTACTGTCTCACCTAAGCCGCTCCCGGGGCGCGGAGCAGGGAGCCTCTGCGGTCGTCTCCTCCTCCTCCCCGTCCTCGTCCTCGTCCTCCTCCTCCCCTTCCTCCTCCTCCTCTCTCTTCCCTGGCGCGGCGGAAAGCCCCTCGCCCGACTGACACTGGCACGACCGCGGACCGTGTCATCTGCGCAACTTTATCCGGTCGCTCCGACTCCCGCAGGGCGCTGGACCCATTGCCTCGCCCTTTTTATTTTTGGCAAAGTTGCATCGCCCTCCACATTTCCGCCCCCGCCACCTCCCGCGGCTCCCGAGTGTCCCGCCGCCCCGAGGGCCCCTAGGGCAGTGGGTCCCCACACTCGCGCGCCCCTGCTGCTCGCGGCAGGCGAGGCCGAAGATGCTGTCCTTCAAGCTGCTGCTACTGGCCGTGGCCCTGGGCTTCTTTGAAGGAGATGCTAAGCTAGGGGAGAGGAGCGAGGGGGGCGGCGTGAGGAGGAGAAGGTGCCTCAACGGGAGCCCCCCAAAGCGCCTGAAGAGGAGGGACAGGCGGGTAATGTCCCAGCTGGAGCTGCTGAGCGCAGGAGAGGTGCCGTGCGGAGCCTTCTACCCGCGGCTGTCCTGCTGCCTGCGAAGTGACAGCCCGGGGCTGGGGCGCCTGGAGAACAAGGTAGGCACTCGGGCCTCAGGGATGCGAGCTCGGCACACTGACTGGGTGGGGTTCTCGGTGCCTCTGGAGCTGGAAGAAGGAAACTTCCCGGGGGAGCTCTTCTGAGAAGTTTCCAAAGCGCGAGCGCGGGTCGGCTGGGATTTCCTCCGGGCGCGCAGAAAGCTCTCCGCTCCCCAGGGTCCGGATGCTGGACAAACTTGCCTGGCTTGGAAAAGAGACGCCCCTCTGTGGTACCCGCACCCCGGGCTGGGTTAATAGCTTAAGAGAATGGAGATCCGCAACTGGGCTTTGGCTGCGGTGAAACTGTAAATGAAGGGGGCTGTGGTTTCCGGTTTATTTGTCTAGGGTAAAAAGGTTTGTGCCGTTTTCTCCACGTGCTCTGTAGAGAGGACTGAATCAGAAAGGATGTGGAAGCTTGTTCGGTTTACGTTCCGGCCCTGTGTGTGTGTGTGTGTGTGTGTGCGCGCGCGCGCGCGCGTGTGTGTGTGTGTGTGTGTGGCCGGGGGTGTCTTAAATTACAGTAGTTCAGCGAGCTGAAAGCAACTCATAGTACCTACAGTTGGGAACCCGAAAAGCTGGCTAGGGATTTTGCTGGAATGTATTTATCACCTAAAACCAGGCTGATTCTCCGTCATTTTGTAACACTTTAAGACTTTCCTGGGTAGTGAGTTGTCTAGGAAGATTTTCTCTAGGAATTTGTTTAGAGAGCGAACCCTTGTGTTGATAAATTTAACCAGATAAGCAAGTAGTGTTGGTTCAGGGCAGACGCATGCTTCTTTCTGAGTTCGCAGTATCGTTCATGCCGTGAGATGTAGTACTGTGCGCTGTCTACCTTAGTTGGGGAAGGACTGCTGGAGCCCCATCATTAACAATCACTGCACGTGAAATAAGCAATCAGGTGTCCTCGCTCCCTCCCTTTCCCCACTTTAGGTTTAATTAAGAATTCCTCTGTTACAACACTGCAGTTGTCAAGGTCTGAGAGACTCTTGGAAAACTTGTGTTTCAGTCTTGCTGGCCCAGGCATTTAAAAAAAAAAAAAAAAAAAAAAAAAAACCAGGCTGAATCTAATTTTTATGCTCAGTTCACGGTAGATTTCACTCTATTCTCATGTAAACAGCTCCTACGAATCAACATATGTGTCTGGGTGGTATCTCTCACTTTGTTTTGTAACAAAAAGCCATATTGCATCATTTAATTTGCTCAAGTCATGCAAATAGGAAAAAATCAATAGGACAAAAAGGGGTCGACTTATCCTCCTCCTCACTAAACTGCTGCCCACACACGGAGTCCTGTTGCTTATGGCAAGAGAATAACAACAACACCATTGTATTTGTTAGTTGGTTCACTAATGGGTGAAACTAGAGAACATCATTCTCTTTCAGTCTCCAGTTCTGTCCAAATGTTCATGCCTTTTGAGGGAGCATTTGTCCAACTCCCAGATGAGTGAGAACTGTCTTGCTGCAGGTTTTCAGCTGCAACTCACTCTTTATTCTTACCATATGCAGCCATAGCCTGAGATTCAGGGAACAGATATTCCAGCATTTTATTCGAAACACTGTCATTAAGCGCCAGTGTTGTAATTGAATTAAGTTGCATTCAGCCACATTCAGATCATCTTAAAGGTTTTTACCAGAAACCCAAAGAACCAGGAAATTCAGAGAAAGGTTTAGAAATGTTTGTCATTGAGTGAGTGTCCCTGTGTGCTATGTATGCTACTAGCATAGGGATGATCTTGCTATACTGACTTCTTCCAGGAACATGTGGAATGAAAATGTAGTTCTGAAGTAAATACATAAGGCAGAGCAGAAAGGGGTGGGACTTGTAGCCCTTAAGAGGGGTGTTATCACTCTTAAGAGAAGCTGTATTAAAATATTTTTTTGAAATCATTACTCAGGAAGCAATCAGCCACATCAGCCTTCCACAGTCCTTTCTGATCTGAGTGCCTCTAATCTGTAACAATCCCTACTCATCTGGAAAATGTGTCTGAATTGGATTGCGTACCTTAGTCTTTGCTGGTGACCTGTGTTACTTGTAAAGCTTTAATAGTTTTTAAAACATGTTATTTTATAATAAATTTAAGTGTTTCCCTTTCTCTCATAAGCCTTTAGAGTCTTATTTTGTAATGTATGTATAGGTCAGATAATAGCAATTTGAAAGGGGCTTTTTTTGTTTATGAATTTAAAAAAATGTCTCCAAGAAAGACTTCTGCAGTTTTTCAAAAACATTAAAGTAGCAGCTTTTTCTTCAGGGAAGAAATTTCTTAGTAACAAACAGGTAAGAATATTGAGAATGTGCAACTATACAATTGAATCCAATTTCCAGACCAATAAATTTTCTTTTACAAACTAGCATTGAGTGCCATATTGTTTTTATATTTTAATTCTTTTTACATTTTAAAGGTATATATTGTAATAAGACTGTTGGCTACCATTCCAAATCAGGACTGCCAAAACTTTGGAAGCTATTTTGTCTTTCATATTTTTTTCAGCTCCTAAATACAGCACACCCAGAAGTTCTAATTCCCATTAGACAAACTGAATCCACAACCAACTAAAATGCCCTTATTTCTTATTTCTAAAACTTGTAGCCACAGTGGCATAGAAGTTCTCTCTACCTTGGGTGGTTTCACAGCCAAAGCTGTCAAGGAATGGGTGAAAAGTAATTGTTTTCAAGTGTGCCCTTTTACAATCATTTGTTTGCTCTGGCTCTTTCAGGGACAAAGGCTATTGTTGAACACATCCAACTAAACAAATAACTCATCCTGGGGTCCCTTTAACAGCTGCCTTAGTACAATGATCTATTTACATATTAGCCTAAAATTGAAACTGAACTCTTTAATGACATAATCCAGCTCTATATTCCAGAGACACATGTGTTCTACCCAACAGCTGAACAACCTGGTAGGCATATGATTTTTAGAAATAACATTTTGTATACTAAATGATCTTAAGGCAGTGTCTTAATATACTGTCATGTAGTTTCTCCTTTTGTCCCTTCATCAAACCCACGTGGATGCCTTTCTGCCCTCTTTGTTTAGTTACTTGATAAATAAAGAGAAATACAGAAGGTCTCTGTCACCCATTTTACTGTTTGTTGATAAGCTATAGTTGTAGGCCACACGTTACTCTGTATTCCAGTATTTATCTGAACTTTCTTCTATGGATTTCACTTTCATGTGGCCAAAGATTAAAGGATGACCTACCAGATGTTACAAATTAGTCAGCAACAGCCACAATCGTTACTAGGCATGCTGTAATAATGTTTCGAAGTTTTACATGATTTCCAAAGTATACATAGTTTAGACCACTGTAATTTGATGGTTTTGTATAAATGGTTTTTAAAAATCAAAACAGGAAATTAGCTTAAATTTCCTCTTAAGATTGATGGCACTGTCAGACTTAAAGTTAAGGACCTGCATGAACATAGACACATAGGCAAAAAACAAGAAAGAAAAAGACCAAAAAAATCACCCTGCACACACCAGTACTCATCTGTCTAAACCAGTGTTGCAGCTTTAGCAGAGTCAGTTTAATTGACTTCAGTAAGACTATTGATTCATTGAAACCAAAGCCAGAATGATGGCTCTATCTATCTACAAATAGGTATTTACACTGGAGACCTCACACAGAGCAAAATGTTACCATCCTGCTGGGCCGGAACAGCATGAAACTCTAAAAAGAATAATATTATACTTGATTTCAGATAATTTATTGAATCCTATTTCTGAAACGTTTGATGAGAAATCTTGTGGCCAGGACACATTCCAAAAATTGTAAAAGACAAAATTCTTGAGGCACTAAAAATCAAGCTCTTCCTGGATAGCAGCTGGGAGAGTATATGGGATCATTTTCTCTCAGCTATAAAGAAATGGAAGCATGCATATTCCCATAAAGCCCAAGGTAATTACAGGCCAGTCTTTTAGCCAGCATATGAGGTGGCTTTAGCACCCTACAATTGGCTTGTGTTTAGTGGGGTGCTATATGACAAACAGGACCCAGTTGAGCATTAGTAATAGTGAGAAGACCTGGTGAGGTCTGCAAGAGTATGGACAATGAAAGACATTTAAAACATTCTTGGAATGCAAATTCTAAGTATCTGGTGTATGTTTCCTTTTAGAAAACATTAACCATTTAAGCAATTGTCATTTAAATAAATTGATAAAAATAAAATGTAAACATGATTATGATTAGTAATTTTTCTGAATATTGTATAATAACCACTTAGGATGCATCATTTTTTCCTAACGTACCATAGCCTCTACTGACTTAAATACAGAATGCTTAAATTTCACAGCACTTTTACTCAGTGATTTTCTTGCTATTTTGCTCCTCAAGACCCAGTTTGTGTGAACATCTATAGTATCATAATCTCAAAAACTAGAGGCTTGGTTCACTCAAGTTGGACACTCAACTTGTAAATGAAATAGTTGTTTTAAACGGTGACACAGGGTTTAACACGTGTTAGCATGTAGTTCAAAAGAAATATTGATCAAGTAGAAATACAGTCATAATTCATTCACATTATGGTATTCTTAATATAAAAACCAATGTTTGATTTATATAGCACATTCCATGCCCTAGATATTCTGCTGATACTGACTTTTCTGTTTATTGAAAGAGTTCATTAAGGCATTTATTTTCAAAGTTATATTAGATACCAAGACCTACTCTATCAATGAATCAGGAAGTCCCAAATTGGTCTTACTGAAAGCAAGGACATATCATTGTAAAAATAATAGTGAAAGTGTGCTTTTTCATTGAAATTCACTATTATTCAAATCATATATATTAAACTCTTATGAAGAAACTAATTAGAATGTTTTTCCTGGTTAAGATATAATGACTAATGAAAGCTAGTCTTAAGTCTGTTCAATTAAGCTTAGAGTATTTTTACAGAATCTGAAAGATAGTATGGAAGACTTTACTTACCCAGTCTATGGAATGAAAACTAACAGGAATCTTTAAAAGTATTATACAGATACATTTTTGAGACAGTCATATTAGAAATGTCAGGAATGAATGAAGGTTTCACCTAAGAAACAAATAAGCCATACCTTTAAATTTTGCATGCAGTCGGATAAAGGTTTCAGAAATTTTAAAAATTAAATGTCATGCTGAATTCTGTGCATACTTTGAAACAGAATAGAGTGATCGAACACTGAATAGTCTGAGTATAATTGTCTTTCACATTTCCACACCTGAGAGAGAGTCCCAAAGCTATTTGCACTTCTCGCATGCCTGACTTGTGTTTTCCTGCCCCAGCCCCAGAAACGGCTTGCACCCTTGTAAAGGCGCTCTACTTTGGGGCACAGGAATTCTTCTCAGAGAACGTCCTTGGCTGATTTAGACTTTGCTACTTAAATGATCTCAAAAAAAAAAACACTGATCTAGCTTCACATAACTAAAAAAAGTTTGTTTCTAACTTATGGCTTTCAGATATTTTCTGTTACCAACAACACAGAATGTGAGAAGTTGCTGGAGGAAATCAAATGTGCTTTTTGCTCTCCGCATTCTCAGAGCCTTTTCCACTCAGCTGAGAGAGAAGTCCTGGAGAGAGACCCAACGCTTCCCCTCCTCTGCAAAGACTATTGCAAAGAATTCTTTTATACCTGCCGGAGCCACATTCCAGGTAACAAAAGAAAATGCACATGTTAAATAAATATCCTCTTAAAATACTCAGTTTTAAATGTTTGTTTACAAGAGATAGAAAACATGCCTCACCTTTCAAAATCCTATTTGATTTCATGATTAGCTTTTTTCCAAAGTCATAAGTTCCGTTGCTGTGAAAAGAAGTATTATAATTTCAGTCTACAAAGCAGGTAGTAATTTTAATACACATCCGGTTATCAGTGCCAATTTGGTCAATGTGGTGCTGGGGATGGGACCCAGGCCCTTGCATGTGCTAAGCACATGCTCTACCACTGAGCACAGCCCCAGTACTCGTTGCTTGTTGGAGTTTCCTTTACCTGTCAGTGTCAGTAGGAAGGCAGCCTACTCTGCATAGCGGGTACATGGCTGCAACATCTTACAAAGCACTTCCACATAAAATGAGTGGCGTGTTCCTCAAAATCCCAGGGAAGTAATAACAATAGAGTTCGCTTCATTGGACAAATGAAGGAAACTGAGTCCCAGGAAAAGTCATATGGCTTATTCAGAATTATAAAAGAGAAGGCAATAAAATAGATACAGAAATTCTTAGGTACACAGTTTCACAAAGACACCTAGTCACAATCCCATTTCAGACTTTAATAGAGATTCTTGGGCATTCATTAAATTTACCATCAAACATTGGTCAACTTGGGTGGTTGTCTCAATTGGAAGAATCCACCTAGAGCATCAAAGTATTTGATGATACAGAGTCTGTTTAGCTAGGCAAGGTCATGTACTGGTCTACTGCTCTTAGCAGTTTGTAAAGCTAAATGGTATTTAAGGAAAAAGGTATGCTTAAAGAACTGTCAGATGCACTTACATAGTTTTTTAAACTGCTATACACATCTTTCCTGTTTTCTGACCCAGAAAAAGGTTAGTATTTCTTAATAGAACTCTTTAACACATGGGACTAGGGTTGCTTGCTCGCTTTGGATAGAGTTTAACACGTATCCATTTAATGTAAAAATAATGATAATTGTCTTTATAAACTCCAGCTGTGCTTCTGAGAATTTTCTTAAGCCAGCTGTTTCTTCCTATTTATCGTATTCCCTGAAGCAAAGTGGAATAGGTCATAGTTGCCTGGATGGCCTGCAGAGAGGTGTTAACAGATTAAAAACCATGAAGGTTTGCTCTGGACCAAATCTTGGAGGTTTACCTTTAGGACCATAAGTTGAAAGTGGTATCAACACTTAGCATTTTCATTTTCCTTTATCTCCTTTAGATAAATACAACATGCTAAACTTAAGACTCATCCGTGGGCATTTTTATATATTTAAAGTTATTTTAGCATCCAAAAACTGCATGCACCTCACTCCTCAGATCAACATTTATGGTGACGAATGACAAATTTATTTTTCTACAAAGTCTGTGTATATATAAAACTGCTGAAGTGCATCAGGATGTCAAGTGCTTTTGGTGGCCGCCCAGGCTGCTTTGAAAGATAACCAGATGAAAGCCCCACTCAGTGGGTGGAGCAGCGAGGGTGCTTTGTGGAGAGTCTGCAAGGCCTAGACAAGGAGCAGAGGAGCTGCGCTTTCCGAGGCCACATGCTAATAATCATTTTAAATACTTGTTCCCAAAGGGAGCTAGAATAGCAGTCTGCCTCACTTACCATTAATCGATCTGTTAGCCAGACTGATCATTGGTACATAGGTCCCCATTTCCTAAAGTGGGATGAAAAGATGAGAGTTCTCCCTTTGGCTCCTGCTGCCAAAAAGAGAAATGTCTGGTTTTCTGAACATGAAATTTTAGAAATGGCTACAAAAGCAAATTTGTAGTAGTTTCAGCTCTGTTAGTATATTTAATGATATGGTTCACATTGCCCTAGAGTCCACAATTGTAGAAAACAGCTACATTGGGGTTGTCTTATATAGAGAAACCTTGTAAACATAGCACAAACCTCCTCATTAATAGTCTTAGTCTTTCTATCATCAAAAACCATAAGTGGAAGGTATCCTAAAGAGTGCATTTTGCTAAAACAAGGAAAAGTGTTAAAAGAAATTGGGAGAGAGAAAACAAATTCAGAGACATCTTTATTTTTCTCTCATTGCATAACTATGAAGCAAGAAATGCATAAACTAACCCTTTGCTTCACTTTCATGACTCAAAGAAGTATGACCATTTTAGAATATTCACATAACTTCAAAGATACTTCATCTCTAGAAATTTTAATTCAGAAATAGTCATGCTGAATTTGTTTTCCTGAATAAGGGGAAAAAGACCTACACGAGAGTCTTACTAATCAACATAATCTCCAATGTAAACTTTCTTAGGGAAGTCAATTCTTAAAATTTCTCAAACTGCCAAAATTATATTTAGAAAACACAGGGAATGTTCTCTCAGCTCTGCCAGTCTTTTCTGCATGAGTAAGTGAGGTGGTAGTTTGCTTTTTACAAAAGACGGCATAGTCCTCTGTGGAGGTCCTATCAATGGACATTTGACTTCTTTCTTTATACCTGTTATCATGATGACTTTTTTCACCCTTGACAGTGGTCTCCTCAGCAGTGGGTTATTGTAGAGTGAAAGGTCTGCACACAATTAGTACAATTGGTTTAATCCTGTTGCTAATGAGGCCAAGGTCAAGGGTTTGAATCCATTGAGTTTTCCAGTCTGCAGCTGCTGCTAGCTTCATCAGATACCATACACATGTGTCTTATTAGTCCCAAGGAGAGAAACCAGAGAGGTGTGACGGACACAAGAACATCTACTAGAGTATGCTCCTTAGTGGAGGCCTTCTTGGCAGGGAATCAGGAGCTCTTTTTCTTGTTTTTCTTATTAAGATTAATGCACACATAATGAAGAAAAATAACTTCCTTAGAATACATGCTGAGGAAAAAAGCTACAATGCAAGAGCACTCCACAGGGAGTATTTGTTTTACTTGTCATTTTACAGGGTTTTTGTGCTATAACAGGACTGGATTCACAATCTGGGAGAATGGAGGCTGGCATAGGACACATGATAAATTATCAGGAGTGTTATAACTCTGCTGGAAGACTCAGTGTATGTCCTTCGATGCTAGAACTGACAGAGATAAGCTAAGCATGCACCTTCAGTGACACGCAGCTCAATGTATTCTTCTAAACAAAAGAGCACTACTAGCTAAACTGGATCTTCCCTTGCAGCAAACACTGACCCAATGCCCTAGATCTAAGTCTTTACACCAAAAAAAGTATTAGAAACTTCCATTCAAATATCATGACTTAAAAAGGCCCATATGTAAGACTCTCCATGAGCTGGCTCCTTGCTTCCTATGTACTCACTTTGCCTGATTTTTCTTACAAGATAGGAGAAATGTATTGTTAACAGTCTGGATGATTTTTTTATTTGCTAAGAGCATAGTGTCTCTGGAGCACAAAGTTTAAGAATAGGCTCTCATACCAGGCATGGTGGTGTATGCCTGTCATCCCAGCACCCCAGAGGCTGAGGCAGAAAGATCCTTTTGAGTTTGAGACCAGCCTGAGATACAAAGGAGCTCATGGTCAGCCTGAGCTGCATGATGAGACTCTGTCTCAAAAAGACAAAAGGGGGGGGGCACTCATTAATCTTAAGATATTCCATTTGAAAATGATTTCTCATTTCTTTGTGTTTATGGCCAACTAACAAATCCTTATAAAATGGAATTAGCCACCAGTATTTGTTTTGTTTCCCTTTAAAATAGTCATTGGAGGCTGGGAAGATAGCTCAGTAGAATAAGCCTGCCTGGCAAGCGCAAGTTCCTGAGTTCAGTCCCTGGTACCACAAAAAATCAATCAATCAATCAATCAATTAATCAGTCACTGGTCTCCAGACCTTAATGCCAGATTATTACAGATTTTTTAACCAAATTTGATTATCTCATGAATTGCATTTTGACCTCTCTCTGTGACCCTGTAGACAAACATCACGTTAAGACAACACTGTTCACTGACACGTTCAGTTTTGCATATATCCGTAGCATGACAATCTTCTCCCATGCCTTACACTTGCATGAATGTCTCACTGCCTAATGGTAAATACTTCAAAGATGGAGTACACGCTTGCGCATGTGTGCTTTACTCCAAAATAAGATCCACCCCAGAACTCTGCAAAAAGCTAGCTTCAGCAATTCAGTTTTCCTTCTCAGTTTAATGGCATTAGGCAGCTATCTGAGGGCCTCTTTGGCCAGCAGTGATTGCTGCAGAGGAATAAACACTGCTGTGGTCTTCATTTCTCTCCTCAATTTCTAATGCTTAGATTTTTCCCAAGAAAGATCATCTCATCCCTCATCCCTTCCTTGGAGTGCCATTCTACCAGCCATCCTCCTTGTTTTTTGACATCTACCATGGGATGCATGCCCTCCCAACCACATCTGCTATTCCTTTCCTGCTTCTCAAAGACATTCCCTTTCCTACTAGCCTTGTTGGTGATTGTTCTAGAAGAGTACTTCTCGGAAATTCCAATGTGATCACACTACCCCAAAAGTTAGATCAAAATGTACATCAAGCTCTCTCTGAGACCCTCACATCCTAAGGCTGATTTAGGGTTTGAAGAGACATGCGTCACGCTCACAGGAAATAAGCTCTTAGTATCTTTCTTGGATCACTGATAAGCCTCATGTGGCTGATGCCCAAATCTCATTCTTAGAAGTCCTTGCTAAGGACTGGGGAGATGGCTCAGTAGAATAAGTGCTTCCCTGGCAGGCGCAAGGACCTGAGTTCAATCCCCAGTTCAAAAAAAAAAAAAAAAAAAAATTAATAGAGGGTATAATAATCTAGTTTGATAGATACAAATTAAAATTTTAAATGTAATAAAGGCATGAAACCAAAAGTATTATAGTAGTTTCAAACCTCTGTAACAATCTATTCTGAAAGCAAAAGTCATCAAAATATTATTACCATATACAAAAACTCAAACTGTAAGAGTAATGTTAATTTTTTTTTTGCTGTGAAGTCCTTTGTATTCCATATTTATTTGACGAAGTTCTTGAGATATAAGAAGAGAAAAGTATCTTTCTTTTATATCCCAAGAAGTCAGTCTGTTTTATATTTTTGTTTTGACTGGGTGATATGCGAACTTTTTGTTTAGAAGGGGAGGTGGTGTAATTTAAATATATTTTTTGTATTAAAAAAATCATTATTATCACCTGTAAGGGAAAGGCACCTACGTATTTGAAACTAAAGGCTTTGTTATGAAGTCAATTCATTGCTTGAATATTTCACAGTGAGTCAATCGTTTATCGTGACACTGTCCATCAGATTTATTATTTAATATGTGTGAGTAGCAATACTCTAAGACTTGGGAGGTCATCCAGACTGGCATCTGATTGCCTGTCTTCTTTCTTGATTCTAGTTTATTCTTTTTGGGAAGTTATTTACTACTGTAGGAAAAAAAAATGCTAATTAGTGATGCGGTAAGCTCCCAAGTATAATATTCATCCACTCAGGAAGCTTGAAAAGAGAAAATACATGGTCGAGGTTAATGTTTGCTTTGTGTTTCAGAAATTCTAGATGAACCTTTAAAATATCCAGCATAAGCTTAGTTGATTGTTACTGCCATTTAAAAATGTTTATTAAAGAAAAATTGGGAATCCTAAGTTCTCACACATACATTTTTTCCCATTTCCTTTTATGTTAGTCTAGAATATTAACATAATTCTTTTTCCTATAATACTAACATAATTCCTAAAGATTCTTTTTTTCTTTATCTATAAATGAGATGACTTTGCTAGGACACTAATTGCTTCTAATGAATCTTTTTACTTTTTAAAAAGGTTTTCTTCAAACAACTGCTGATGAGTTTTGCTCTTACTATTCAAGAAAAGATGGTGGGTTGTGCTTTCCAGATTTTCCAAGAAAACAAATCAGAGGACCAGCATCTAACTCCTTGGACCAGATGGAAGAATATGACAAAGTGGAAGAGATCAGCAGGTCCATACAGATAAATACTCTTTAATCTGATAAAATGACAAACCTTGTAGTTTTGCCAGTGACCCAACAGTCTGTGTTTACTATCTTCGGGAGCCGTGTCCTCCAGATACTTTATTATTTTTCTTTTGGATAGTGTGCTTCTCTACAGTTGTAACTTAAATGTTTTGAATACTTAAGACTACTATTTCTGTGTTATGAGCTTGGTTTCCCTATGACTCATCTGAATTTTATGGGTATAGTTTTAAAACTTGAGTTTTATGATTGTTGTTAGCTTATGGTGCTGTGGCAATACTCTACACAATTGTTATCGGCAAATCAGACAAGACATGCTCCATGAGGCAAACCCTTTTATAAATAGATCTTAGAACTTTCCCTGAGTGCCTTCTGTAGGATTTTACTATTGTGAGTAAAAGCTAGTTTTAATTACAGTTACTGAAAGATAGATAATGAGCTTATAAAAATTTAAAACATATACATGTTTGGGTTCTCACTTTCACTTTCTGACAGAAGGCTGTTTTATTTTTTCCAATGAAAAGAGTTTAAATGAATCACTTAAAAGATTCACATTACAATGTGTAGCTTAGCAATACTTCTTGATTTTTAAAGCCAGTAATTACAAGGGAAGTACATTTTGAAGAGGATGCTAAGAGCATCCATTTCCTTCTTCATCTCAAAAAAACAAAAAAAAAAAAAACAAAACAAAACAAAAAAAAAACTTACTGGTTTTCTTGAATTCATTTAGAAAACACAAACACAATTGCTTCTGTGTCCAAGAGGTGGTGAGCGGGCTACGGCAGCCTGTTGGGGCCATGCACAGTGGGGACGGCTCACACCGGCTCTTCATCCTGGAAAAGGAAGGCTATGTGAAGATACTCACCCCTGAAGGAGAAATATTCAAGGAACCTTATTTGGACATTCACAAACTTGTTCAAAGTGGAATAAAGGTTGGCTTTTTAAATTTTATTTCTCTTTGCTCTGGCTATGTTGATTTTTAGTGTTATCTTCCTCAATGAAGCTATTTCTTTGTAATAAAAGAAAAAAATAATTATGGAGGAAATACAGAAGCAACAGAAGGGAGAGTAACTATAGCAATTTAATGAGGTCGTTGCATCAGATTTTATGGTACTTGCTGACTATGGAGCAGTGTAATGAGACTGATATTTTGACATGCTTTCCCTATGTAATTTGCACATTTGAAATAATTTTGGGCCTTATGAAGTATTTGTCTATCCAGTAGTCACGACACTTAGGATTGTGTGTCAAGAGCTATATGAAAGGAGAGAAGGTTAGGATCATGTGTCAGGACTTGCTGTCAGAGACAGAGACTGGACTGTTTTGTCAATCTCAAGTCATTCTTTCCCAACATCTATTTCTGTGTCTGTGTCATAAAAATACTTCTGAGACTATGACTTCCTTATTCAATGTTTTTACAGGTAAGTCAGATACCTTTATGTGTAATATGCCATCTGTGTAATATGTAAGCACGCGTGTTGCCTTCTTTCCACTTCTCTCATTTGAGCTCTCAGGTTGTATGATGTAGGTGTGCAAATAAAGCTATGTTGAACTTGTTTCCCCTGAGTAACAGCACAAATTAGTAGCAGGAGAGTATCAAGCAAAGAGAGAATTCTAAAATTAGACATTTAACAGCTCATGCCTATATTAGAAAGAAACAATGCAATGGTGCAACTTGGGGAGATCTGGGTTTCCTTTTTGTTTCTCCACTGGGAAAAAAACCAACAAGAAATACTGGCATTCTCCCTGCATGAAAAAGAACTCTTTACAATGCTACTCGAAGGTAAGACCACCCGAACTGAATGAAACAAGTCAGAAAAAAGCCTAGTTATATGCCTGAGTCAGTTAGAAAAGAAGGATGCCAGGTCATCAAGATCATCCATGTTGATGGCTCCAAGACATGCTTCACAAGAAAAGTCAACCTTTTTTTGAAAGAAGACCCTAGCACCAAATCATGGCTCATTTGGGGAATCCTTTTGAATTCAGTGGATGCATTTTTATCCCCATAAAACTTTTCATGAAAACCCACAGCAGATAATGAAAGTGATGCTTCAGTGTTTTGCCCAGCAGTGTATCATAAGCCCTGATTACTCCTCCCAGGATTACTGAAGAGCAGAGAGAAGAGACACAACAGCAAATGTGCTATGCTTCAGCAGTGCATTGTTTCTTCCCATGGAAGTTAAGTGTGGAGGAGATAGCTCAGTGGTCTAAACACCTGCCTGGCAAGCACAAGGACCTAGGTTCGAGTCCCGGTACCACATGCTGTGCGAGCCCCAGAAGGGCAAGCTGTGCTGGCTCCTGAAACCCAGTGTGGTGGGCACACCTTTAATCCCAGTGCTGGAGAGGCTGAGACAGGATCACCATGAGTCTGAGATATACCAAACATATGAATAAATAAAAAGGAAAATGGGGAAAAGTAAAGTTAAATCATCTGCTATGATCTCACTGATTAATTAAGACCTCTATTAACAATTTGATATAAATCCTCCTGGTTTTCCAAAATTAAATGAATTCTTTTTCTTACTATACAGATAATACAAGTCCATGTTAATAAATGTGAAAACAGACAAGGAACACTTTAAGCTTATTTTTCTAATCAACTTTGAAATAAAATTAAAATCAAATCATGTATGTATATACATAT